TGCCCACTGGACCCCCACCAGGAAGTCTGGAGCATCAGGAGGTCTGAAAGCAACAATGTCCATGGAGTTTAGAGTTCTTTGTGGCTGCTGCTTCCTGTCCATCTTCAGTTTATTCACTTATCAAGTACTTTCCGAGTATCTGTCCTATGGTGGGGCCTAGCCTAGGCTCTGGGATATCATAGACAAAATGAAACACATCTGTGCCCATAAAACAGCCCCATTCATTGGAAGATACATACATGGGATCTGAATTTGTCTCCGTGCTGTGTCCCAGGACCTTGGAAAAATGTCTGGCACACACTGGTGCTTGGTAAATGACCGAATGCCTAAGAGGCTCTAATGGGCCCTGCCTAGGTTGGGTACATTCAGGAAAGGGTGGCAGGGGAGGGACCCCAGCCCCATGGCAGATGGGAGGGTGGGAGGGTGAGATGCAGACTGGGAAGGTGCCCCCCCAAAGTGCCACTGTGGACACGCACGGCATGAGCTGCCTGGGCTCAGTTGCTGCAGCCCCTATCCCCTGCTGGCTGCCCAGTGCTCACCCTTGCTCTCCTGCAGGGCGGGTATACTACCTCAAGCACCCTGAGAAGCTGACGCTGACAGAGGCCCATGAGGCCTGCCTCGAAGACGGCGCCCGTATCGCCAAGGTGGGCCAGCTCTTTGCTGCCTGGAAGTTCCGGGGCCTGGACCGTTGTGATGCCGGCTGGCTGGCAGATGGCAGTGTTCGCTACCCTGTGGCTCACCCCCGCCCCAACTGTGGGCCCCCCGAGCCCGGGGTGCGGAGCTTTGGCTTCCCAGACCCACAGAGCCGCTCCTATGGTGTCTACTGCTACCGCCAGCGCTAGGCCCGTGCCAGCCACCTCCCTCCCAGATATGTATTTATGGACTGCTTCCTTTTCCTACGTGGGATGGGGCAGTTTTTGTACTTCTCAACTTAAACAAGATTTAAAAGTATTTATTATTATTTTGGTGCCGGGGCAGCCTCCAAAGCACAAGGGCTGAGTTCGAGCCCCGGCACCACTGAGCTAAATCCCTGGCTCAAAAGTATTAATTTTTGGTAATGCCAACTCTCAACTCCTCGGACTCCCCAGGCTCTCCCGCTAGGGACATCTGGGGTCCGTGGGTTTTCAGAGGGGTCTCTGCCATCACAGAGGCCACAGAGGCTGATGCCCAGGACCTGGTGGCTGCAGCTGTGCCCCTGCCTCAGCCTGGGAGGCAAAGGGACAGGTGGGGTGGGGCGGGGGGGTCCTTTTCACTCCCTAGGCTTTTGGGTGAACTTCCCTATCCTCCCTCTTCTGGTTCTAGAATCTGTGTTGTCCTTACATTTGGACAATAAATGGTGCTGTGGCCCTTTCTTCATCCTTGGCCTCCTTGTGTCTCGGTCATTCCCAGGTCTCAGCTCGCTCAGGTTAGTGGGCTCCGCTCTGTGCTGGGCTTTACAGGAGGGTGGGCAGGGATTGTGAGTTGGAGGCCAGCCTGAGCAATTTAGGCCTAGAGACTTTGTCTTAAAAAAAAAAAATGGTTGGGGATGTATCTCAGTGTAGAGCACCTTTGGGTTCAATCTGCAGTACTGAAAAAAAAAGAAAACCCAAAACCAAACAAAAATGAATTTCCTTTTTCTTTTCTTTTCCCTCTCTCTCCCTCCCTTCATAATGTTAGAGATCAAACCTAGGAAATCATTCTACCACTCAGCTATACTCCAAACACTGAGTGTGTGTGGTGGAGGGTGTGGGGTTGTGTGGTACTAGGGCTTGAACCTAGGGCTTTGCACTAAGCTATACCCCAGCCTTTTTAATTTTAATTTAAAAAAATTTTTGAGACGATTGTCATTAAATTGCTAAGTTACTCAGGCTGGGCTCAGATTGGCTATCCTCCTGCCTCAGCCACCCAGAGTGCTGAGATTACAGGCATGTAACACCATGGTTGGCTCCCAGTGTGTTTTTGATTTGTGACATTTTAAAGAAACACTTGAAGGTCACTTTAACTTACCATGAATCACATAGTTATCGAGCCCCTTCTATTTGGCCGGGGGTCTACCTTCTTTTGCCTACTTTATCCCTTCCAGGGTGGTAGTAACTGGTTACACCAGCCAACACCCAATCATACACAGCCACACCTGAGGAGACCCCAGCTCACACAAATGCACACCAGCAGGCCCTGGCAACACCTTGTGGGCACAGGGAGCAACCGTGATGAAGGAAGCCTCCCGAGGAGGAGGAGGCGGCGGCGGTGGTGCTGGGGGAAGCCACTGCCTGGCCCACTCACCCCGGCTGGCTCTCAGGGTCTGGGGAGGATCCACAGACATTTTAGCCAGGTTTCTCTTCTACCCTGTAGTCTGAGTAGGGTAGAGTGCCGAGCCTGCTGTACCTAGTATGCCCTAGAAATGTGAAAACAAAACCCATTATTCCCACACTGTCTGCGGTTTTTGGTTTTGCAATCCACACAGCACCAAGGACTGGCACACTCACATGCAAACATGTCGTTCGTGTTCTCACACACACAACTTCTCATACATGCTCGCAGAGAATCCATCCAACACATTGTCATTCTAGTGAAAATAAACAGATGAAGCTGTCTCGGGCTCTGAACAGACTGGAGTTACACCCACGTGGGGTCATTTGATCAAAAGGTGCCTCCCTGGCTTCTAGTCCTGAGAGCCCCTCCTGTAGGCCCCAGATTGTGGTTTGCCCGCTCCTTAAATTGAAGAAAAAAAAAGGGAAAAAGAAAAGAAATAGATCTCTTCCAATGTCTTTATTATTATAATTATCATAATCTTTAGTTTTCAAAAATATAAATAGGTGCACGGAACCCTGGTGCCTGCACCGTCCCGGGGTGGGGGAGGGGAGGGGATGGGGCTGCACCCCCCAGGGAAGGATGTGCCCCCACCCAGTCCTGCTGAGAGATGACACCTACTGGGGTACTGACTGGGTGAGCACACTGGAGGGGGGACCCTTGGAGGGAAGGTGACCCCAACGTTGCAGAAGATGCTTCCCAAATGGCCCCCTCCTGTCCCTGACCCCCCAGGCTTCTCTTGCGACCCTCCTGGCTCCTTTGTGTCCTGTCCCCTACATTCAGCTGCCGTGGTCGGGTCAGAGTCCTTCTGGCCTCAGGCCGCTGATCGTTCCAGCTCCTTTCCACCCACTCCCTCCGTCCTAGCTCTTCCTGGAGGTGAAATTAACCAACCATTGCACTGCTCTTGGATAAAGTCAGGAAACAAAAAATAATCTTCTTTATTTAACTTAACCCCTTCCCCTCTCCCCCGTCTCTGCACTTGTCCCTGGAAAGGCACGACGGGAGACTGAAGAAATGTCTCTAATCTCAGTCCACGGGTTGCGATGAGCTTGCTTTGCTTTGGCATTTGGGGACAAATTAGGCGTGGTTTTGGAGATTTGGGGGTGGGTGGGTGCATACACAATGTGGGATTTGGTTTTTCCGTCTTTAATGGGATTCCTTATATGAAAAAGCAACAAGAAGAGGACAGCACCGCGGGGAGATGCGTGGTCTGGTCAGCCCGGTGGGCTCCTGGGCTCAGCATCCTGGGTGATTTCCCGAGGCGCCTCTCAGTGGCCTGAGCTCGGGCGGCTTTGCCGGCTTTGCCAGGAGCTCCGTTTCTGTAGTCGGCGCTTGTGGCGCTTGTAGGTGGCGGCTGGAGCAGCAGGACACAGGAAAGGATGGTGAGCCGGGGAAGTGGGGCCGAGCCCTGGCTCCCCATCTGCCCCTCTCCATTGGCGCCCCTCCTTGTGGATGCCCTGGGCCAGGAAGGCAGCCTGAAGCTTTACTGGAGCCCAGGTTTGATTTTTCCTCCTCCTCGTGTTCAGGGGGTGCAGGCTGGGGTTGGAAAGGCAGGCGGGCCACCGTGTTCTCCTTTGTCCTCTCTGAACATGAATCCTCAGCGGACCAACCCCTGTCCCTCCTGCAGCAGGGGCAGTGGTCCATGACCTCACTTCTTTGGGTCTATCCCAGGTTCCCCAGGGGACAGTAAGCCAGAGATGTGCTCAGCCATGGGAGGGGGCACACTCACGGTCTGTGCAGGTGATCCGAGGCTCCTCCCAGTGCCCACTGGGCTGGCACCGGATGGTGGGGACGTGGCGCTGGACAAAGCCCTCTGTGCACTGGTACCGTACCAGGGAGTTGATCTCATACCGCTCCTTTTTCTGCCCAAGGGTCCTGGCATGCTGCACCATAGGAGGGTCTTTGCAGGCCACTAAGGAACAAATGTCCTTTACAAAGGGGTCTCTTGGGGCTTCTGGATGACACAGGGAGCCCTGGGATCTAAAACCTGGGTTTCTCTCTGATGTTCCCTGGCAGGGAGGGTATTCCAGATGAAGGGGAGGGAGAAAAAGGTGGGGGATGGGAGGGAGGGCCAGGCAGACCATCTGTGGGCAGGACTAGGATGTGTCCTACCAGTTATCTGTATCTGCAGACCTAAAGCCTGACAACTCTGATTCTGTGACCGTTGGACTTGGGAACCCCAAAGAGAGGAGGTTCCCCACCCAGGTGCCCTCAGAGGTGGCTTTCTGCTGCTGACATCCAAGGGTCTGTGGTATGTGTGTGTGGAGGGGTCCTGTCCTCTAGTCTGGGATCTTTACCTCTTGATGCCCCTGTGAAAGACCCCTAGAAGTGAGCTGGCTCTTGCAATTTGGCCACAAGTCTCTGGTTCTGGGAGAGGCTGCCAGGTCACTTCCCATGCCATCTGCTTTGTAAGGGTGTCCCCATAAGCCAGGCATGCTCTGGGAGGCTGAAGCAGGAGAAATGTAAGCTTGAGCTCGGCCTGGGCAACTTAATGGCTTAGCCAGATCTTGTCTCAATATAAAAAATAAAACAAGGGGTAGGGATGTAGCTCAGTGCTCAAACCCCAGTAGTTGGGGAAGGGTGTCCCCACTGACCCCTTCAGCTGGAACACGAGTGAGAGCCTCCCATGCTGCGGAAGTCCTTCTTCCCCACTCAGACCTCTGCCATCCTTACCTGTGCCCTTTTTACAAGTGAAAGGCAGGTGGTAATTGCAGGGGACATCGTTCCACTCGCCCTTCTCGTGCCAGATCATCACCACACAGTCCTCTCCTGTGGCGAAGAAGTTGTCCGGCTGGTTGGGACGCCATTTCTCAAATTGCTGTGGGCAGGAACGGGAAGGGGTGAGGGAGAGCAGGAGTAAAGAGGCGGGCCTGTCCCCCACTTTCTTTCCTGGCCAGCCTCTCCTGTCTTCTCTTTCAGCCCAACTTCTGTCTCATCTGGCAGTGCTGAAGGCTACCGGGAGGTTTGCGGCCAGGGTTGTGCTAGTGCCACGAAGCCATGGGTCCTCTAGGAGCTGCTGACACGGCTGGCTCTGGCCTTTTGCAGGAGCCCAGACCCGCAGGGGTTTGGTCCCTGATGGACTCTGGCCCTTCACTGACAGGCAGCATTAATGCTCATGTTGCCCTCCGGGCATCTGTGCTGTCTGTCTGTCTCTATATACACACAAATCCTTCATGGGCAAGGAACCTCTCCCAAGTCTGTGGATCCCTCATGGTGTCTTGCTGTCATTCATTCATTTCCCTCCTGGCTCCCTCCCTGGTGTCATGTTTCTGCTGAACCTGCCCAGCCCTGTGCTGGTCCCCAGGGGTAGAGGGGCAGGAGAAACAGCCAAGCCCTCCGGGGCTCTGCTCCAGTGGCTGCTCGGGGAGCATGGGCATGGTTTTTGGAGGCATCTCTCTGTCTGGGGACTTTATCCCACCTCCCTCTTCTCTGCAGCCAGTGAACCTGATGGAACTCACCAAGGGATGTCCATCTGACCAGCGGAAGTCCCCTTCAATGGTCCTGTCGTTCAGGCCGACCCACTGGTAGTCCTGAGCATTTCCTGGAGAGGGAAGGTGGGTTGGGACCTGGGGTTGGACCCCGTGGGGTTCTGAGGACTACAGCTCGTGGAAAAGGCAGGAATGAAGGAGGAAGGGGACCATCTAGGGTCCCTTACAAGGGTCTCAGCACATGTGTGTTGGTGAGCATTTTGGACCCCCTTGCCCCAGGCTGGCATGGATTGGTGACAGGCAGAGTTTTTCTGGGACTGCCCTTGACTGCCAGAAGGCTGTCCTTGATGTGGCCAGAGCCGATTGCTGCAAAGACCTCTGTGTTGTCTCAGGGAGCTCAGGCTATGGAAAGGCCCCTCCCTCCCAACCCCCACCCCTGCCCCCTCTCTGTCCCTCTCTGGACCCATTCTGCCAGGCTCTTCTTTTTATTGGCTTAGCAGTACTGGGGATGAACCGAGGGCCTCATGCATGGTGGGCAAACGCTCTACCGCTGAGCTACATTGCCAGCCCCCAGTCTGCTAACATCCGACAAGTAAGGCCCTCTGCCCACTCAGCCACTGTCCTCAGTCCCTGGAGGTCCCCCCAACACTCACGGTTGACAAACTCCTGCTCCTCTGGGGTGATGATGCTGCTGAGGTGTGACTGGTGCTCCCGACACTGCCTCTCGGCATCTGCCCAGGTTTTACGGTCAGGGAAGTGGCGGTAGCAGTGGCCCTGGAATTTGGTCCAGCCTTCCTCGCACACCTCCTGGTCTGCAACACAGGTGATGGCCTTGAAGGGGCTCTGAGCCCAGCTGGGCATCTGGTTGCTGTCAGTCTTGTGGCTTGGATTCCTATATCCACCCCACCTTACATGCTGTGCCCTCCAGGAAGGGACAGGCCCCACTGGAGCCGGGTTTGTGTTGGTGCTGCGAGGCCTGGCCCCCAGGAGTCTCTGAGCACACCCCACCCATGGGAAATGCTGGGGACCCTTTCTCTCCCTGATGTGATGCCACTCTTTCCTCCCAGCCCCACATCCCAAGCTTTCCTCCTGCAGATACCTGCTCTGGAGGCCTGGCAGAGTCATCAGGCCAGGTCAGTAGAGGTGGGAAGGTGGGAAGTTATGCGATTTAAGGTACACATGGTGCACAGGCTCTGAGGGGCTCCAGAGTCAGGAGCTGTGGGGAGCAGGGGAGGCACCAGAGGATTGGGCTGGCATGAGCTAGAGCCAGCAGCCTCCTTCCCACAGATCCCTGGGTGAGGACAGAAGGTTCAAAGAAGACTCAGAACTCTAAGGCCACTGATCAGAGCTGGCCCTGGCTAGGCCTGCCTGTCAGAGAGCAGCACAGTCCTGCTCCCTGATTTTATATTTTGGTGGCAGATGGGGAGAAGGGAGAAAAGTCTAAATTTGTAGTGGGTTCTCCTTTCTGGAGAAGGGGCTGATTTGGAGGGCTTGGAGCAGCCTAGGGGGACAGAGGCAGGGACGCGCCAGAGCCAGCCCCTTTCAGGATTGGAAGAGGCAACCGTGAGGGCATCTTCCTAACTCTGCATTGTTTTAAATTGGCACGATGGGAGTATTTACACAACAGAGATTGTCAGGGCCCCTTTTCTTCTGTGAGAGTCAGGTGTTAAACATCTTGCAAGGCAGCCTTCTTTCTTTGGCAACCTCTGTGTGTAGGGCCCTAGTCTTGGTGAAGAGTCATGAGTGTCATGGGATGTGTGGTCCCCTCCCATCGGGTGCTACTAGTGTGTGGTTGTCTCAGGGAAGAAGGCCCAGTGCCTGAGAGACAGGAGCCTTGCAGCGGATGTTTGGCCAGCTTGGCAGAGACAGCTGGGAGAGAAGAGAGGGCAGAAGAGGCTGGGAGCCTGAAGAGAAAAGTGGCACAGCAGGAGGGCTTGGGAGAGGCCTGGGGTCCTCTCGCTACCAATGCCCTTCCCCAGGTGGTTGCAAGGGCTGGGAAGAGGCAGGGAGGCTTCTGAGGTATCTTAGCACCACGAGGAGGACAGATCCCACGCTAGGGCTGTCTGGTGATGGTGGTGGTGAGGCAATTCCCAGGCTACCTCAGTGACACAGAGATGAGTGGGGCAGGCAGAGCCAGTGGGTGAAGCTGCTGTGGTGGCTGAACAGGGCCATACAGGAGTGGGCTCTGGGCAACAGGCAGAATTCCAGGGAGGCTGGAAGGATGAGCAGGTCTGGAGCCGAGGATGGGCACCAAGGGGATGCGGCCTTGCTTCATGGGCCAGCTCAGGGCTCCAGCAGGGTGCAGAGCCCTCTTCCCCTAGGCAGGAGCCCCAGAGCTGTTTGTGGACACTGCAGACTCTTCTCCCCTTTGGCAGATGTTTTGGCAACTTGGGGAGCTGTCTTCTTCCACCCCAGCTGAGACCCCATGTACCGATTTCTTAAGATCTTGGGGTGAAGATGGAGAGTGGAAGGCTGCAGGGCAGGAGAGCCCAGGACTTTTCTTCCAAAAACCATAAGCTCCTCTACCAGCCTTAACCCTGGCAGTGCCTCCAGGGAATGTGTCATGTTCTTACACTGCTTGACCCCAAAGGGAGACTTCCCAGCTTCTTTCCGGAAGTTTCTGGGGGTCCAACTTGAGAGTTCATTGAAAAGGCTTTGAGCCTCTACACACTTCCTGTTCTGTGTAGGCCTTGGCTCCCAGCACCCCAAAGCCCCATCTCCTTTTTCCTAACTTGGGAAGACTCTGGGATCCAGGAGGCTGTGGGGGACACAGGGAGACCTAGGGGGTTAGGCCTGGCCCTGAGAGATTCCTGAAATACAGGTGCAGAGCAGAGGGGCTGGCAAGGCCCAGGATGGGCAACTGAGCCCCTGCCTCTTGCAAAGATATTCTGTTCTCTGACCAGAACTTTGCCTTGCATAGGGAGGAAGAAAGGAAGGAGGGCAGGCATGGCATTGACATGGTAGCTATCGTGGTGTGAAGAAGAAAAAGTGACATGCAGCAGTCCCTGTTCATGCATGACTTGAGCATGCTGGTGACATGAGTGCTCTCAGCAGACCAACCAGGAAGTCAACTTGGCTAGTGTGGCACCACGGCTCCCAGAGCCATGGAGGGGCCTCACACAAGTCCCGCAAGCAATACAGCAGGCGGACACTGCCTATGACCATGCTGGGAAGGGTCCGTGGCTGTCCCTGGAATGAGAACCAATCACTCCCACCCATAGCTTCCATCCAGACAAAAGCAGAGAATCAGCCGTGTCCTCTTAGTCTGATGCATGCACCAGGCTTGGTGGTGGCCTCAGAAAGTCTGCAAGCCCTGGAGAAGGTTAGTGTTTTAAAGGTTCCCAAAGCCCAGTCTGGGCGTCTCCTGTGATCAGGTCAGCCAAAGCCTGGAGAAGGATTTTCAAGGAACAGAGTAGAAGAAAGAGAGGGAATCAGGAGGGGCTGACAGATGTCTCAGCTGTGGCCCCTGGAATGGCTGTCCAGATGGACCTGGGTACCCAGCCAGGGCCTAGATCCTGCTGTTAGAAAAAAAAAAAAGGTAAAGGGGTGTGTGTGGAGCAGTTAGTAACATTAGCTGAAGCCGATACGGCCGTACCGATCTCACACAGGTCCCCTCCGTAGCTGGGAAGGCATAAGCATGTGAAAGAGTCGATGGTGTCCACGCAGGTGGCTCCATTCAGACAAGGGCTTGAGAGGCACTCATCAATGTCTGCAAGAAACCAAGGGCCACCATTAGGACTCTTGTTGGCAATTCTGGCCTCACAGCACTGTGGCTTCCTTATGGGTGACCAGCCCTGCTCCAGAGCCCCAGAAGGGGACTGGCTGGTTTTCCTGAGAACTGTTGCTACTGCTGCTGCCGCCATCTTGGAATATGCTGAACCAAGGATCCAGAGAGGGGTTGTCTTGGATGTGTGTGAATCCCGGTTGCCAAGCTGGGGGCCTCGGAGCCAGGCTTCCCAGTGGGTAGAAAAAACTTAGTACTTGTGATGTCAAACACCTTTGGGAGTGCAAGGGTGGCATTTCTCCCAGATATTTTCTGTTGTATTTTAAGAAGCCTGAGCTTGAACTGGCTATGACTTTGGTGGTGGGCAAGGACACTGGGAGGCAAGTTCTTGAAGCTTGACTGAAGGTCTTCCTTTCCCTCGTTTCCTCCATAGATGTGTACCAGGGAAACAATAAGCATCCTGGAAGGGGTCTGCAGAGTACAGATCCATGAGACAGTGGCCATATGGGATATTTGCATGAAATTCTTTAGCCTTCTGAATCACAATGTCCAGATCAGCTCTATCCTGGCCAGTTATGGCAAACATTTGAAGCTGGCCAGGTGCTTATAAGGTGGCTGCCCACCAGCAGTGGGCTGGAATACAGGCTTCCTACAAGCTGCTTCTTCTGGCTCTTCGTCCTCTTTCTTCTGGACCCAAGATGTTCTTTCTGGTCAAACTTCTCTGTAGGAATCAAACTGGTAAGTCATTAGCCTTTGTCTCAAGTAGTCAAGAACTGTATCTGTAGTCTAGTCTTTCTGTGTCCTTTTGAGAATCTAGAATGCCTTGGGATGTTTTCTGCTCTCTTTGTGTTTGGACTCCAAAGCTCTTACTATTTTTTCCCCCCTGGGAACATGATAAAGAGTACTATGCAGCTCCTTTTGCCAGGAGATCAACAAAATTCAGCAACAAGAAGGCTCCACGGTTTTATGGTGCATCAGGATATGTGGCTGGAAGAATGCTAAGCCTTGGTGTGTGCTGCTGAGCTCATACAACCTTCAGGATCCAAGGGGATGTCTATGGGGAGTCTCCACTGAGCCTATTTTAGGAATAGGGCCTCTGAGTCCTACATATGTCCCAGGACTTAGTTCTGCCTCCCATTGAGCAAAACAAACCTTAAGGTCAAGCCTTTATTAGGATGACAAACACCTTTTCCTCTGGATCTTCACACTTGGGTGTAGCAGGCATCTTGAGTTTGTGCAGTGGGTGACCCCCAAAATCCCTGGTTCTTCTTGTTCCATGATGCTCTTGATCTCTGATTCTCACTCTTCCCATTAAGTCCTTAGCTTCATTTCATGGAGTGCACACCATAGATTAGAAACCAACAGTTCCAAATTTGGAACCGTTCCAAGCAAACCCAAAATGCATGGAGGAACTGGCTGAAATCCCAGCATGCACTTGGAGTCCCAGCATGCACCAGGATTCCCAGCAGCAGCAGTAGCAGCAATAGGTCAGGTCAGTTGGCAGGGTGGAAGCTGGGGCAGCTCTCCTGCTTCAGGAAAGCTATGTCCTCTTTTTTCCATTAGCATCATTATGGGAGATGGGAGGCACTGGGCTAGGGAAATTAAGCAAATGTAGGCGCTTAAGCAGTTGTACAGAGCAGGGGATGGGGTGTCCTTTGGGGAAGAGAGTCAGACATCAACCCTAGGGCCTCTGGCTGACCCATGGGAGAAAGGAGGACAAGGTGTGAGGCCAACAGGGAGAGCAGGCCAGGTGGCTTCCAGGTGTTTCAGAGGCTTAGAGCTTATGCCTCACCCAACCCCAGGTGGCACAAAGGTCCTGGGGGTGAATGGGGGGCAGTGTTGTGTCCTTCTGTGTCTGGCCAGGGCACAGATCTGAGAAGGCATCAAGGACTCAAGGAACCAACTCCTAGTTTCAGAAGGCTTTTTTTCACAGGGCCCTGCATTCATAGATGAGGAGGGAAGGAGGGGCCAGCATACTGAAGATCAGCGAGCCTGTGGGTACCACTGGGGCACTTTAGAGGGGCTGTGAGTCTTCAGCAACACAGAGGGGCCCAGTATCCTCATTAGCTGTATTGTTCATTAGATGTTCAGGCCAGTGGCACCTCACCTCTTCCTCTGGCTGCAAGAGCCACTCTGGACCTGGCTGCCCACCTCTTTCTGTGAAGGGCAATGGGGTTATCCCCAGGCTTCCAGGACCAAGAGAGGAGTTCAGTGAGGTCCAGCTGTGAGCTTAGACTGGGAGGTTTCAGACAAGGGGACAGCAGCTGAAGAAGGGAAGGACTCTGGGCAAGAGAAGACTTTGTGAAGGAAGGTAGGAAAGAAAGGGCGGGGACCAGAATCTGAGCAGATGCTGCTGACTGTCAAGGGCCCAGTGGTACAGATGTCATCACATTACGCGAAGAGCAGAAGAGATGAAGGAGTCGGGAAATGACACAGAGCATCCAGCCTTTGTCCCACATTGGGAAAGAGAGCCAGGCATCTTGGACTCTCAGCACCTCATTACCATTTCTGCTACAGCCACCATGTTATCACTGAGATCCTCTTCCGACTAAATAACCGAATGGGATGGTTTGTTCCTGAACAAAGCCTTTCAGTCGAATCTCTAAGGTAGGAGAGAAAATAACTGAGCACCCCCTGGTAAAGGCTAGAGGAGGAGAGGTGCTTGCAAATAATCACTTTGGTGTCTGACTTAGAGACCTCAGACCTGTCTTGAATAGTTATGTCCAGTTTTGCCTGGAGCAGAGCCTAGGACGTTCAAGTGAGCAAGAAATGTCAATGGAGAGTGACAGCAGGTGGTTTTATTCAAGCGATTCACAACTGAATCGTAAAGAATACAGCATTCTTGAATAAAGAATTCGAGTTACTCAGTGTACGACATGTACAGCCAGCTGTTTATGATGACCTAGGACATAACTTTTTAGGACAAGGATGGAGGTGAATCCCTTCAGGAAGCATAGACAAAAATTTTTAAATCAATGGGAGTTCTGCATCCTGCAAAAATCTAGGATCAGTTAGGATGGAGAGAGAAGTAGATATACTGACTTCCTGGTTGGGCCTCTTACACAACTGAGAGAAGACTATATTTATGCTGAGAGTATATTTATCAGTCCCAATTTGCTCTCAAAGTAAGTATCATTAAATTAGGGAGCATGTTATTATCTATACTATTTCGATTCTACATTTTAGAGGTTGATCTTCCTTTAATATCTTCTACCTTAAATTCAACTAGGTGTCCATTAAAATCTGCTGATGGATTTTTTTGGTTAAGTCAAGAGGCTATAAACGGAGTGTGGCGGCACCTGCCTGTAGTCTCAACACTCTAGGATGCTGAGGCAGGAGGATCACAAGTTGGAATCCAGGGCAACTTAGTGACTATGGAGACCCTGTCTCAAAATAAAAATTAAAAAATGGGCTGGGGCTAATACCCACTACAGACAGAAATGGATAGATAGATAGATAGATAGATAGATAGACGAGTCTGCCAAAAAAAATGTATAAATCAGGAAAAGAAAAACTTGCATAAATATTTCAGTATTAAATGTATTGCGAACTCATGAGATTACTACAAGTTACCTTTGGCTTCTACAATTATAAGAGGTGCTCAGTGTGGTGGCCTTCAGCTTCCAGACATTCATTTATTAGTACTGTTAAAACTTGCTTGAAAAGAATAGAGGTTTCACTGAAATTCAAGCATTTCCCTAGAGGAAGAGATAGTGTCAGATCATAAAGCAGATCTCTAAACCTAGAAAGCAAAAAGTGGCAGTGAAATAGAAAGGAGCTAAATTTTAAACCTTTATTTCCTATAACCCAAGAGTTGAGAAGCTCATGTAACAGGATTGATGACTGGAAACAACTTGCTTGAAAAGAATAGAGGTTTCACTGAAATTCAAGCATTTCCCTAGAGGAAGAGATAGTGTCAGATCATAAAGCAGATCTCTAAACCTAGAAAGCAAAAAGTGGCAGTGAAATAGAAAGGAGCTAAATTTTAAACCTTTATTTCCTATAACCCAAGAGTTGAGAAGCTCATGTAACAGGATTGATGACTGGAAACTAGAAATGAGGTTTGATTAGAACAGTATTTTTTAAACTTGGCTACACATCATCATTATTGGAATAGTTAAAAAAAATTTAAATTTAAAGAGTAAAAAATAAAAGTCAAGACTAGGGTCCCTCTCCAGACGACTGAGTCAGGATATCTCAGAGTGGGGCCAGACATGATGCTTTTTAGAAGCACACCAGCCCCCAGGTGATTTTCAGCAGCCACTAGGATTGAAGCCTGAGTCTAAGCCCCATGGGTGCTGTCAGCAGAGGATGTGGGGAAGCTGGTGCTGCTTTTTAAGTGGGTCAGGAGAGAGGCGCTGCTTCTCATTGCTGAGGACTCTGACTATTCATTAAGCAGATGTTTATTCGGAAGGAAAAAGTACTGATTAGTAATTTACCAAGTTTATGGAAAACTGGCTGAATAAAATGACAATTCTTTTAGGATTAAATATAGCTGTTGACTCCTTTATCAGGTGGATATTTCCCTGAATATAATAATAATAATAATAATAATAATAATAATAATAATAATAATAAAGCTTTTTGCTGCCAGTGGCCCTTGGAGGATAATGGTCCAGGGTCTGTCTTCTTCTTCTTTTTCTAGTACAGTCCTGCGATTGAGGCCAGTGCCTTCATACTGAGCTACATTCCCAGCCTTTTTTTTGGTACCGGGGATTGAACTTGGGTCCTTTCACTTGCAAGGCAGGCCACTGAACCACTGAGCTAAATACCAGGCTGCAGTCGTTTTTATTTCTTATTTTGAGATAGGGTCTCACTAAATTGCCCAGGCTGGGCTTGAACTTGTGATCCTCCTGCCTCAGCCTTCCAGAGTGCTGGGCTTACAGTTGTGCACCATCACACCTAACTTCCCCTGGGATTTTAAAAAGCCCCATTGCCAAAGTCCACAGAACCGTTTCAGTAAGACTCCATGGGGCTTGGTCCTAGGGGCCACAATATTTTTAAAGCTGAGGACCCCTACCATGGATGTTGACTGATAAATGAGTAGAGCGAAGGCTTGCCTGAAAGTTTGAATCAGACTAACTCTGATTCTACAGCCCCCTTCTCCCTTGACTCCCTGAAAATCTGGTGTTGGCTTTTCAACACCAGCAAGTTTTCATTGTGTTCAAGAGAGTGTATCTTACCAAGTGTGTTAAATGAGTGCACTGAGAGCCTTACTCGTGATTTACCTCACTTAGTGGAGATAGGCAAATGAATTAACCTCTCTGTGTTCCAGTTTTCAGTGGGGGTGGTTATCAACCTGCCTACCAAGATGTTGGGGGAAAAACCATGGGAAGCAAAGTCCTGGGGAATATATATGATCAGAGAAAGGCTGCTCTTACAACAGAAGAGGTAAGTTTCACTATCACCTGCCTTTACCAACTTCAGACTGCTAGAGATCTGAGTCTTGTTGTGACTTCTGATACCAGTATCACATTTTTGTCTCAGTTATCAGATTGGGAAGGAGTTGCTCGGAATGGAGTTACCCACTGGGGTGGAGAGGTCCAGGCCATGGTCATCAGGGCCACTACAGCCCAGTGGAAATGTAAGATGTGATAAAAATATAATGACTATTCAAATAAAATAAAAAAAATATTTCAGTGAAAGACACATTGCCATAAACCCCCTCAAAATACTCCACTAGCTTGGAAAACATTTATTCTGTCATTCTGGCCACTTTTTGAAGCATTTCTGGAAGTCCTCTTTCCTGAGGCTGCCTTGAATGGGCTCAAAATATTTACAGCAACTTTTGTCAAATAAAAACATTGTGGTGTGTCCTTCTCCACCTTATTCACTGGATCTGGTACCATGTGAGTCCTGGCTCCTCCCCAAAGTCAAAATAGAAATGAAAGGTAAATGGTTTGAATCGATTCAAGACATTGAGGCAGCCACCACAGTACAACTAAAGAGGACTCACCAAAGAGGACTTTCAGAACTGCATCAGAAAGTGGCAGAAGGATGGGATGAGTGTGTGGGAAGTGAGGGGAAGTATTTTGAGGGAGATATAGTTTGTGTCTTTCACTATAATAATTAAAAAAATTTTATTGTTTTTAAAACATTTTTCAGATTTACTGTATTTTGTGATCACACCTTATACTGTCCCCTGGGCAGTAAGGATTATCTGTCCTGTGTTTTTAGAGGCCCAGTGTCCTCAGGTTTTGGCCCTAGGTGTGGGCACAAGCTGACTCTAAGGAGGGGAAAAGTGGATGGATATTCAGCCGAGTGCCTGTTTATGTAAAATACTATATATGTGCAAAATGTACAGTGTATTTACATCATGTGAGGGTATATACTGATGTCTTCATTTGCATTATACTATGTGATTTATGTAAACCCCAAGCCCTTCCTTGTGTGCCATGGAAGGGCCAGGCAGGGTTTACCTGGGAGGCCTGGCAATGGTAATCTTTTCCCTAGACACACAGATTACTTTGTGTCTCAGGAATGAAGCATTTTTATGAATGGCTTCAGAGAGAGGCTAGGGATCAGGGTGTTGGGGCACTGGAGACAGAACTGGAGAACAGGAGCTTGGAGGCAACTGGGTAATATCCCATGTTCAAGAAAAGAGATATCATTGTGGCATATGCCTTGGACAGTCTGCAGAGCGACAGGCAGGTGCTAATCATCTCATTTTTGCGGTGCCTCCAGGCATTGGACCCCCAGGTTTCTCACCCATCCCACCAGCTGCCTGATCCACAGCAAAGAACCAACAGCCTCCCAAGTGGTGGGTGCCCTGGGAAGCCCACCATGGTCCTGGCTGCCCTGCAGCCACAGATGCCAGTGCTCAGTGACAAGTTCTCTGGTGTTTTCTGGAGGGCAAAAAGCGACTCAAGTTCCACTTAGACACATGGAGGCCCCATAGGCTTTCCTGGTGGGGTTCCTTCTGTACAGTGCAAGACAGTGGCCCTCAAAGAGTCCTCTCCAGGGACAGAGGGGTATGTCCACCATACTGCATACTCACCCCGAGCTTAAACTTTCCTTGAGGTCTCAAGTTTTAGCTTAAAAAGTTAAGTGCACTTCGCACTCTACTCAAAGAATAGTCACTGGCTTGCTAGAAAACTATTCATTAGCCTACTTATTTAACAACGTTTTTCTCCTAAACTCTCTTGTCCACTAGATGCTCTGGAAAGATGTGCCCTTTGTGCTGTGGCTTCTGTCCCTGATGTCTCTGTCACTGCGCACCTCTCCTTCCCATTCTGAGAAGCTTGAGCCTCAGCTGTCCTCGCTCACCTCCTCTTGCCTGCGGCCCCTTCTGCGGAGGAAGTAGTTTAATGGGCTGATATGGGTCTTACCTATGTCACAGTGCTCACTAGTGTCAAAGGGGCACGGACGTAGGGCACGTCCCTCTCTTTCCTGCAGGTCCCCGTGCCACAGGGCTTCTCCACACAGAACCTGGCAGGACTACAGCCCCCCAGGGGAGAAGGTGAGGTCAAGAATACAGCTGCCCAAGAATACAGCTGGTCTCTGACAGTGGGAGGCATGAAGGGTCCTCACACAGAAAGCTAAGAAAGAGCAGCTGCTGGGGCCTGGGATCATGGGCAGTGAGATGGGTCAGAGCAGTAGAGCGGGTTCTCTTGCTGGGATGGAGTGGGGACCCTGGGTCGGGTCACAGGCCAAATGGCTATAGTTCCTTGAATTGTGCAGGTTTTAGCCCTACGCAAAATAAATATTTGGACCTCAATGTCATCAGCAGATTCACTCTCTCATCTCACACTCACTCTGGGGCATGGTGCCCGAGCAGAATTTTTAGCGTTATCTAAATAGTCACCCTCCCCTTGCCTGGTGCCAACTACAGAGATTGGGTCTATATAGAAACACTCATAGTGGGTAATTCCATCTCAGTGATGACAGCCACTAACCTTTACAAGTGTGTAGTCTGCCCAAAGTAGGATGCTAAATGCTTGCTTTTTTGTATATTTATATTCTGTTTAGGCTTCCTTGGGACCTTTCTTATTTTACAGATGAGGCTCAGAGACTTGCCTGAGACTGCACAGCTAATCTGTGGTGAATCTGTGCTACAGCTTCCTACGGTCTGACTGGCCCAAATGCATTAAAGGGAAGAATCCCTACAATACCTGCAGTGGTGCTTTCTGCTTCACCCGATCCCTCCGAAGAAGTGGAAACAGCAGCGTCTGTTTCGGCAGTGTGGGTCTCTTCTCTCGAGTACGAAGGGCTTGAGGACTCGATTTCTAGATGCACCTCTGCAGGGTACTTGGGCTGCTGGGTCCACTGGGTCTCTAGGGTGCTGGTACTGATGCTGACATCTAGCCCTGAGCTGTGAGCAGACAGGTCTCCGCTAGTTTCCGTCCTGTCTCTGGAAGCCACAGGAGTAGCCCAAGGTGCACCCGAGGCCTCTGTGACCACCTGGGAGGTGGTGAATGACTCTCCACTCACTTCTGGGGCAGCTGACCCCTCCTGGGGGCCTCCCAGAAAGGTCCAGGGGCTGCTGCTCACATCCAGGCCCGAGGCTCTATCAAGATCTGCTTCGTGGAGGGCAGAGGTGGTCTCACTGGAGTCAGGGGACCCAGATGCCTGTCCGCTGGCCTCGGGGACAGCAGATGCCCTCACGCCAGTCTCAAGATAGGCAGAAGACTCACTGCTGCCTTCCAAGACTGATGATACTTCTACCCCAGAGCCAGGGAACGTTGCTGTTGTTCCACCAATGTCCCCAGATGCAGAGGCTTCCCCACTGGCCTCAAAAAGCAGGGGTTTGTATGTCACAGGGGGTCTTTGGCCTAATTCCTGGGACACAGTTGCTTCTGTCACACCCTCCACTAACTCTGAAGTGATTAATGTGACTTCTGGAAGTCCTGAGGCCTCCCCGCTGCGGGTGATGGCTGCAGTGGACTCTCCACTTACATCAGCTGTGCTGGAAAAGTCCCCACTAGAATATGGAGTGCTTGATGGCTCTCCACTGGGTTCTACCAGCCCAGACTGTAGTCCACTTTGGTCCAAAAATCCAGAATTGTCTCCAGACACTTCTGGTGCTCCAGAATGAGCACCACTAAGTTCTGAAATGCCTGAAGGCCCTTCTCCAGGTTCTTGGGCTGTTGGATGTTGGGTTACAGATTCCACCAAGGTTCTGTCTATAAGAGAGATGGTGGGGAACCCAGAAGGAAGTCCACTGCCATCGTATGCTCCCGAGGGAAAGCTACTCCCAGCCTCAGTTCCAGAGATTTCTCCACTGACCTCAGCTGCCCCACTTGGTAGGCCACTGAGTTCTGGAGCTGGGGATATAAACCCACTGGAATCGATTGTTCCAGAAGACTGTCCACTGATGTCTACTACCCCAGAGACTGACGGATCAGTCTCTCTAGAAGGAAAGCCACTGAATTCCACAGACCCTAAGCCTTCTTCTTCTTTAAATGTAGTAGGGGTCACTTCCACCAAACTGGTGTCCACAAATGTAATGCCAGAAGATTCCCCACTGCCACTCATGGTACCAGAAATCAGGTTGGGGATTCTAGGTGTTGTCCCGCTGAACTCTGGCAGACCTGATGGCTGTCCACTGATATCAGGCCCTGCGGATGTTTCTCCACTCAGGTCTATTGTGCCAAATGGCTGGCCACTGCCAAAAAGAACTCCAGATGCTTCTCCACTGATGTCTGGTTGTCTGGGAGGCAGTCCACTGAACTCGGTCACACCAGATGTCTCTCCACTGGAGTAAAGAAACCCTGAAGGCTGCCCACTGACCTCAGAAATCCCAGATGTTCCCCCACTGATGTCAGGAAACCCAGATGGCTGTCCACTAACACCAAAGAATCCAGATGTTTCCCCACTGATGTCAAGAGATCCAGATGCTTGACCACTGACTTCACTTCCCGGAGGGAGTCCACTGGTTTCTCCACTAATGTCTGGTTCTTCAAAGGGCAGCCCAGATATTTCTCCTGTGCCACTGATGCCAATGGCTCCCCGCCCTTCCAGTTCACTTGCACTGGTGGCTGTGACAACTTCCACCAATGTAGTATCCACTAGGGAGACTGTTGGGAACCCAGATGGAAGTCCACTAAAGTCAGGAAGGCCAGAGGATGGGCCACTTCCAGAGTCCACTCCAGAATACTCACCACTAAATCCAGCAGGAAGACCACTTGCTTCTGGAGGTTGTCCACTTCCTACAGTTTCAGAAGGCAGTTGACCAATGGCCAAGTCTCCAGAAGCAGATCCTACCAAGTCTTCTTTTCCAGAAGGCAACCCACTGAGATCCTCTTTTCCAAAAGCTGAGGTCTCTACACTCTCTCTTCCAGAAGAAAGCCCACTGAGGTCATCCCCTCCTCCAGAAACAGAGGTTTCTAGACCTTCTCCAGAAGAAATCCTGCTGATATCCTCTATTCCAGAGGCAGAAATCTCCAGACCTTCTCCTCCAGAAGGAAACCCACTGACATCCTCCACTCCAGAGGCAGAGGTCTCTAGACCTTCTCTTCCAGTAGGAAGCACACTTATATCCTCTATTCCAGAGGCTGAAGTCTCTAGACCTCCTCCAGAAGGAAGTCCACTGAGATCACTTATTCCAGAGGCAGAAGTCTCTAGACCTCCTCCAGAAGGAAGTCCACTGACTTCTATTCCAGAGGCAGAAGTTTCTAGATCTTCTCCTCTAGTAGGAAGTCCACTGATTTCCTCTATTCCCGAGGCAGAAATCTCTAGACCTTCTCCAGAAGCAAGTCCACTGACTTCCCCTATTCCAGAGGTAGAAGTCTCTACACCTTCTCCAGAAGGAAGTCCACTGACCTCCTCTACTCCGGAGGCAGAAGTCTCTAGACCTTCTCCAGAAGGAAGCCCACTGACTTCCCCTACTCCAGAGGTAGAGGTCTCTTGACCTTCTCCTGAAGGAAGTCCACTCATTTCCCCTACTCCAGAAGCTGAAGCTTCTAGATCTTCTCCTCCTGAAGGAAATCCACTGACTTCCTCTACTCCAGAGGCAGAAGTCTCTAGAATTTCTCCAGAAGGAAGCCTGCCAAGGTCCTCTACCCCAGAGGCAGAGCCCTCTAGGTTCTTGTCCCCAGAGGGCAGCCCAGCAACTGTAGGAGTGCTGGACCACTCAATTCTGTCTTCATGTCCTGAGGGTAGGCCTGAGTCCACTGTGGAGGTAAGACCACTGGAGTCAAGGTCTCCAGAAGGCAGTCCGCTTGCAGTGGCTCCTGGAGCTTCTCCACTGCCTGTGAAGTCACCGCTGATATCAGGGGCCTCAGATGCCTCCCAGGAGCCTGGCAGCTCAGTGGCACTGGGCACCTCAGAAGAAGGTGTGTATGGCTCCTCTGAGGTGGAAGGTGTTTCCCAGGTGGAGGGCACCAAAGTTACCCCAGAGCCCTCTGTGCTTTCCTCTGCTGCTGTGCTGGTGGGAGGCCATGTGGGTGGGATCCCTGCAAGAAAGGAGGAAGCCAGGTGAGGTGTGGGTGGAGTGACCGGCAGGAGGAAAGAAGAAAGACAGGAAGGAAGGAAAGGAGAGAGACAAGGAAGGAAAGGAAGGGAGCAGGCCAGGAAGCTATCCAGGCTGTGCTTTGTGAGACACTAGGGAGCTACATCCACACGGCCCACTGGATATGGGGCTGCCACTGATGACAACCGCAGCCACCCTTCAGGTGCCTTAGCATCTCCTGCATCTAAATATGTGGTTTTCAAAGCCTGGGCCTTGGCCTCATGCCCTAGGGGACAAATGGGGATGCAGTCCCAGCCTTGCTGACCCAGAAGCTTGCTTCCTTCATACTTGCTGGAGGGTGAGACCTGCCTATTTCAGTTGGTGCTGTTTGTTTGCTTATTTGGTTGGTTGTTTTAAGAGTAGGAAAAATTTATTGAGGGAAAGAGACCTTCTAAAAGAGACAGAAAGGGGACCGGAAAGTGGGTTGCCCACTCACCCCACCTCTCCAACGTTTTTACAGGTGCTGTTGTTTGTTTTATAATTTTTTTCTCTTCTATTTTTGGCATAAGGTACTGAACCCAAGCTCTTCACCAGCTCCCTCTTTTCATTGTCACTTTGAGGCAGAGTCTTGGTAAGTTGCAAAGTTGCCTAGGCTGAATTTGTAACTCTCCTCACTCGGCCTGCCAGATGCTAGGACTACAGGCTTACACCTGAACTCCCAGCTTCAGGTGGTGCTGTTTGTAAACATGCATTTATTTTTTTCAATTCTGAGAGCCTTATAATAGAGGATTTGAAAATAGAGAAAAAACCAAAAATCTCACCATGCTAAATAATCATGTAAAATAATTCTTTTAGTATAGATTTCTTTGGCACTTAGAAAACAACTAGCTGGGTTTTGAACCTGGCATGTACTCTGGGGCTTATTTGCCAGGCACACCTGAGTGTTGGAGGAGCTGGGAAGGGTCCTGGTTCCCTTCTGTGTGAGTTTAGTGGGGCCCAGAAGAGCTTGGCTATGCATTTAAAAATATGCATGAGAAACAGGCTGCCATGACCATTCACAATCATGATCTAACAGTTCTCTATTAAATACATTTAAATGATTTTTCAAAAAGCAAAGCAATTGAAAGAAAAAGTCACAGTGTGAAATAGCATAGATGGCCCAGATGTGGTTGAAACCAGCAAGGTGGTCAGGAACTGAAGTCGAAGCTGTGTGCTGAGCACGGTGCCCCTGGACAGTTCCCCACAAAGGGTGGCCAGAGTCCTGTGCCCAGCCTCGCCTTCTGCCGGCCCAAAAGGACTTGGTTCCTCTTGCTGTAATGAAGGGTGAGGAAAGGGCCATGGGCCAAGGACCAAGAGCTGCTGGGCAAGGTCTTGGGCCCGGGATCCCACCTGCTCTTCAGTTGCCTCCTCTCCCTCAGCATGGAAAGAGGGAGGCTTTGCATGAGTAGCATGAGTGGCTGGATGGATTGGTTGGAAGCGCTGAGACTCTTTCCTTCCCATGTGTATGTCCCCAGCTGCTGACACTACTGGGCACACAAACTACTACTGTACATTGGTTTAATCCTGTGTCACCCAAGCTGGGAGCCACTAGATATTAACAATACTCCATAAAAAACCTTATTGGCTCTACAGTCAGGTTCTTTTGGGGCCTACTGCATACTGACACTACACATTACCCTATCCAAGACTCTGAGAAAGTCTGTATTTAGGAAATCTGTAGATCTTTTGGCAAACCAGCATTTGCCAAACCTCAGAGGGCACAAAACACTTCCAACAAGGGTTGGGGACTGTGGCTTTCATCTCATGAAGTCCTATCTGCTTTAATCAGGATATTTAGGGTTTAGGAAGTTCTGGCTAGGCCTGGCCCAGAGGAGGGACATGGAAGGAGAGAAGGGTGAGGATATAGGTTCAGATATAGTTGTGGAAACAACTACCCTGTCCCTGGTTCTTGCCCCTCTATTGGAGATCCCACAGGGAGATTCAAAAGGTTAGGAGAGGGTGTCTGTGTAGGAGGACAGTGTGACTGAGGGTCTCTGATTGGCCCAGGGCTGGCCACTGAGGGATGTGCTCAGGAGAAATAAAGGAAAGGCAGGAGAGAGAATGTGTGTGTGTGTGTGTGTGTGTGTGTGTGTGTGTGTGTGTGTGGTCTCTCTGTGTGTTTTATGAACAAGTCTATCCTATTACTCTGAGGTAGGTCCTAGAGGACAGCTGAAGTGGTCAAAGTTGTCCCAGCAGCACATCAGGCCAGTGTCATGGCTGGGAACACAGCTCAGGTCCCAGGGAGAGAAACCACCCCACTGTGTATACCACAGATAGATGGGTGTGTGGTTTCATGCCCTGGAGCCCCATCACACTGACCTGGCAGAGGGGAGGTGCCCACTGCAGTGTAGGCCGGTTCCCATTCGGTTTGGTTTTCTGGCTCAATGGTGAAGTCTAGGACTGCAGTTGTCTCCTCTCCCAAGGGAATAACAGCCACGCCAGGCACTGCTTGGGTGATGATCCTGTCCTCTACACCTGCAGAGGGTGTGGGTGTGCTCCCCTCCTCTTCTCCTGGAGAGGGCGCCACTGGAACACCTAAAGGGGATGTGCAGTCAGGAGACTTGGAAAGGCCTCAGGGCCTCTGGGGTGGGCCAGGCTGAGCAAGGGCCTTCTAGCCCCCCACCCGCCTGCAGTTCAGCAAGATGGCTCTTTGCTCTCTCCAATAATGAGACCTACTTGCATCAAGTACACTATCTTATTCTCATTTTATAAATGGGGAAATGGAGGCATGGTGCTACATTCATAGCCCAGGGCCAGTGACGTAGAACTGGCACAGCTAATCTTTGAATCCAGGCATCTGGTGCAACAGCCTCATTCTCAGCTACTGTAGAACATGGGCTATCTTGGGGACACGGATTATGTTCAGAGTGTCAGGACCCAAAGCAGGCAGGTGATATTTAAATTCCATGCAGCCATCCTGGGGTTTGGAGGGGTGAAGGCAGGATTCATTGGGGTAACTGTTGTGTTTCAGGGTGTGTGTTGGGGGAGGCCAGCAGACTGGGGGAGGTCAGGAAAGGACGGGAACTTTTCTGCAGGGTAATCCAGGGAGCTGAGTCCACCGAGTGTCAGGATGGGGCGTGGGGTTTCTGGCAGGAAATTTACTGGGAGGCTGATTAGCCAGCTTCTGTTGCCCACAACACAACTAGGACCTCATCAAACCCCCTGGGAGGAGTCTGGGAAGCTTCTTCAGGGTGGTTGACTGGGGAGGCATTCTGAATGGGTTTTAAAGGTGAGCCTAGAAGTTTGGGAAACTTGGGGGTCCTTCCCTCAACATTATCTGGAAGGAAGAAAGGGGCTAAAGGTGTAGGGAAAGTGGGAAGGTTAGGGGAAAGCTAGTAAGGGAAAGGAAAAAAATATGAGAAAATGAAAAAATGGAAATGAAGTGCTTGTAAAGGGAGAGGGAAGGAGGGATGAAGGGAGGCCAGGGATAAGGGGAAAAAAATGACCTGTCATGTAAAGGTAGAAGATCCCAATAATGAATGTAACTGCACTGTGTACCTAAAATGTGCCAATAAACTCAATGAGGAAAAAAAACAACATTATCTGGAAATGATCATAGACCCAGGAAGGTGCAGCGAACTTGATGAACACTCGTACTGATGTACAATATGGAAAATACGGCCCACATCGTTCTACATCTATATTCTGGCCTAGGGACCCCGCCCCTACATCGAGGCCTCGAGAACTCATCCAATCAGAGCCTAGCAATGCCTTAGCCCCTCCCTGGCCATGCCCACGACGTTGCTAGATGACATTACTCTCAGCTATGGAAGGGTAATGATGGTTGCTACATCAGTGTTGCCGTAGCCCGAGTCAATAAAAACATTGTTGAGTGAATACTTTCTTGGTTAAGCGCATCACCAAAATATTTACAATTAGGAGAGAATTTGACAAACTA